ATGATTGCTAGAAGACTGGGTCAGAGCATCTCCAAAACTGCAGCTCTTGTGGGGTGTTCCCGGTCTGCAGTGGTCAGTATCTATCAAAAGTGATCCGAGGAAGGAACAGTGGTGAACCGGCGACAGGGTCAAGGGCGGCCAAGGCTCATTGATGCACATGGGGAGCGAAGGCTGCCCCGTGTGGTCCGATCCAACAGACGAGCTACTGTAGCTCTAATTGCTCAAGAAGTTGATGCTGGTTCTGATGGAAAGGTGTCAGAATACATAGTGCATTGCAGTTTGTTGCGTATGTCAGGGTGCCCATGCTGACCCCTGTCCACCGCCGAAAGCGCCAACAGTGGGCATGTGAGCATCAGAACTGGACCACGGAGCAATGGAAGAGGGTGGCCTGGTCTGATGAATCACATTTCTTTTACATCACGTGGATGGCCGGGTGCGTGTGCGTTGCTTACCTGGGGAACACATAGCACCAGGATTCACTATGGGAAGAAGGCAAGCTGGTGGAGGCAGTGTGATGCTTTGGGCAATGTTCTGCTTGGAAACCTTGGGTCCTGCCATCCATGTGGATGTTACTTTGACACATACCACCTACCTAAGCATTGTTGCAGTCCATGTACACCCTTTCATGGAAACGGCACCCTGCCACAAAGCAAAAATGGTTCAGGAATGGTTTGAGGAGCACAACAACGTGTTTGAGGTGTTGACTTGGCCTCCAAATTCCCCAGATCTCAATCCAATCGAGCATCTGTGGGATGTGCTGAACAAACAAGGCCAATCCATGTAGGCCCCACCTTGCAACTTACAGGACTTAAAGGATCTGCTGCTAACATTTTGGTGCCAGATATCCAAGCACACCTTCAGGGGTCTTGTGGAGTCCATGCCTCAACGGGTCAGGGCTGTTTTGGCAGCAAAAGGGGGACCAACACAATATTAGGAAGGTGGTCATAATGTTTTGACTGATCGGTGTATGTTAAAATAGAAAATCGTTCTTCAATATTGTAATATTATTTTACAATATTATTGTTTTTACTGTTTGATCAAATAAATCCAGCCTAGGTGAGCATACGAGACCTCTTTCAGAAACAAAATTTACAAAAATCTTACAGACTCCAAACTTCTGAATTTATTATTATGAATTTATATATATATATATATTATATGTATTCGTGTGTGTGTGTGTATGTGTATATATATTTTTCAAAACACAAATATAAAGTGTATATTTCTAATAACTAGCACATGTGTTTTAAACAATTTTTCTTTTTTGTGGACAGTCTAATTTGTCATTGACCCCAAAACTATTATTTTACCTTTTCCTCGATTTTTCTCCCTCCTGTGATCAAACAGACTCTTCTCATGGATCAGGGCAGATTTCAGGAGATGCAACAGGAGCTGGAACAACTGGCACTGGTGGCATCAGTCCTGCTCATAGTCTATAACAGTGCTGGCGAGGCCATTTCCGGACTCCCAGGCCTCATGGAAAGACTGAAGAAAACCATTAAGATTCTGATAGCGGAGATGCACACTCTGTATGTTTAAAGATGAAATTACACTGTGTTTCTAATGCCTCACACTTCTGCAGACAAAACCATTGTACTTTTCCTTAATAGGTCCTTTAAAGCAGATGAAACCTTTGCTGCGGTTGCAGAGAAATTGTGTGTGGAGCTCAGAGGATGCTTGTCTCAGCATGGCTTTTCCCCATTTTCCTCAGATAGAGAGAACGCATTGAAAGGCCAAATCGTAGCTGCGAAGTCTGAGGACAACCCCATACGCAAGGTCATTGGTAAGCATGGTAGAACCCATAAAGCAGTTGGATTCTATTTGGAAGTGAGGAACTCCAATCTAAAACTCTACTTTCTCTATCAGACTCACGAATCCAGATGTACCTTCTTGGCTTCCTGGAGTCAAGCGCCCACCGGAGTGCCCCGGCTCTCCCTGGAGGTCTGACACCCATCAGCAAAGAGTTAGAGGAGATTGCCGTTAAGCTGGGACGTTTGGTGACTTTCAACAAGCTAGTTTACTCTCCGTTCTACCACAAGATCCTCCAAGACATTCTGAAACAAGGGGAAAGTTGGGTCCTGCCATCCATGTGGATGTTACTTTGACACATACCACCTACCTAAGCATTGTTGCAGTCCATGTACACCCTTTCATGGAAACGGCACCCTGCCACAAAGCAAAAATGGTTCAGGAATGGTTTGAGGAGCACAACAACGTGTTTGAGGTGTTGACTTGGCCTCCAAATTCCCCAGATCTCAATCCAATCGAGCATCTGTGGGATGTGCTGAACAAACAAGGCCAATCCATGTAGGCCCCACCTTGCAACTTACAGGACTTAAAGGATCTGCTGCTAACATTTTGGTGCCAGATATCCAAGCACACCTTCAGGGGTCTTGTTCCATGCCTCAACGGGTCATGGCTGTTTTGGCAGCAAAAGGGGGACCAACACAATATTAGGAAGGTGGTCATAATGTTTTGACTGATCGGTGTATGTTAAAATAGAAAATCGTTCTTCAATATTGTAATATTATTTTACAATATTATTGTTTTTACTGTTTGATCAAATAAATCCAGCCTAGGTGAGCATACGAGACCTCTTTCAGAAACAAAATTTACAAAAATCTTACAGACTCCAAACTTCTGAATTTATTATTATGAATTTATATATATATATATATTATATGTATTCGTGTGTGTGTGTGTATGTGTATATATATTTTTCAAAACACAAATATAAAGTGTATATTTCTAATAACTAGCACATGTGTTTTAAACAATTTTTCTTTTTTGTGGACAGTCTAATTTGTCATTGACCCCAAAACTATTATTTTACCTTTTCCTCGATTTTTCTCCCTCCTGTGATCAAACAGACTCTTCTCATGGATCAGGGCAGATTTCAGGAGATGCAACAGGAGCTGGAACAACTGGCACTGGTGGCATCAGTCCTGCTCATAGTCTATAACAGTGCTGGCGAGGCCATTTCCGGACTCCCAGGCCTCATGGAAAGACTGAAGAAAACCATTAAGATTCTGATAGCGGAGATGCACACTCTGTATGTTTAAAGATGAAATTACACTGTGTTTCTAATGCCTCACACTTCTGCAGACAAAACCATTGTACTTTTCCTTAATAGGTCCTTTAAAGCAGATGAAACCTTTGCTGCGGTTGCAGAGAAATTGTGTGTGGAGCTCAGAGGATGCTTGTCTCAGCATGGCTTTTCCCCATTTTCCTCAGATAGAGAGAACGCATTGAAAGGCCAAATCGTAGCTGCGAAGTCTGAGGACAACCCCATACGCAAGGTCATTGGTAAGCATGGTAGAACCCATAAAGCAGTTGGATTCTATTTGGAAGTGAGGAACTCCAATCTAAAACTCTACTTTCTCTATCAGACTCACGAATCCAGATGTACCTTCTTGGCTTCCTGGAGTCAAGCGCCCACCGGAGTGCCCCGGCTCTCCCTGGAGGTCTGACACCCATCAGCAAAGAGTTAGAGGAGATTGCCGTTAAGCTGGGACGTTTGGTGACTTTCAACAAGCTAGTTTACTCTCCGTTCTACCACAAGATCCTCCAAGACATTCTGAAACAAGGGGAAAGTTTAGATGTGTAAACAAAACACCTGACTTACAACTAGTTGTCCTGGCTTTCACATTCTGTAGCTATGTACAAATTAAAGTGTCGGTAAAATAGCTAATTAACCCCTCAAAGCTCACATGCTAGCACTAACATATTTAATGGTTAACAGTCCTGACCTCTTCTCATTGCATTCTGTATCAGGGAATATTTATGGATGTGTCAAGACATTTGAATTGTCTAAAGCTTGGATTAGTTTAGGCAATGACTGATAGTGAATAGTGTACTGAAATGTAATAGAGGAGAGCCTTGCAAATACTGTAATTGTTTGCAACAAAATATAAAAAGAATACTTGCATTTTACAAAAGATTCACTTCCAACAACATTGTAAGTAGTTTCAAACGCTTTCTGTTGTAGCCTGATCCCTTCCGCAAAGGTGTTATTGAGGTTTCTGGGTGTGAGGAAAAGGGTGTACAGTACAGCATTAGACTGGTGCCTTAGTTTGTGAAGTGCCACCCATATTTAAGTGCACAATTTTCTCTTTACTGCTCATTTTAACCTACAGATTATTCCCATGTTGTTCCCGCATTCATGGGACACCTGGAACACCAAGCACGGTCTTTTACAGAATTCTTGATTTAAAACAAAAAAAAAAATGTTTCTGTCAACACTGAGCATGTGACGACACCTTCACCTCACAAGCACATGTATTCACCAGCTGCACATCTGTTCTACTCTCATAGACTTCTAAAGTGTGTCTTTTCAATGCAGTATTAATGGTTATTTTAAACGGAATGCTGGCTGCCAATAAAAATGGTTAATGGAGGTGTGAAGAAAACACTGACTGGGTTTACTGGGTTTTTTTGTCAACTTATGCAATTCACTTGGCATTATGTTACATTACATTATATTATACATAGTTTCATCCATTTATATATTTGACATACATCAGTAGGTTTATTACATTATATTATTTTATGATTTATTATTGTAATATTAGATTGATTACTATCAGGATTAAATAAATACAGTTTATTCTGGACATTTTCAGACATACATATAGACAGGAGAGAGCACCAGTTATTGTAATATTTGATTTAAATGTACTAATACTAAAAACATTTTCAGTTATATCAAAATAGTTGGAAAACAACGCTTTAAGATATTGCAAAAATATTTTATAGAAAAATGTTTAATTGACATATGCAGATATTTATTTTTTTATAGTATTTATACATTATATTATGACATTTAAATGTATTTTGTATATACCTATGCATTGTCCAAAACACCTTACGGACTGCATATCCCCACCAGACGGGGCCGCTATACAACAGAACTGCGTCCTGCTTCCGTGGGCGTTTCATGTTGTGTTGTGTTGCGTTGAGTCTCCAGTCCTGTTCACGGCAGTAAAGCTGCGCAGCAGTTCTGACTCACCGCACTCAAACTCGCAGGAAGAAGCCGCGCGAGCTCAGCTGAGAGAGCTCGAGCAAGTTGATCTGACAGAGAGAGTTTGTCCGTCGCCGTCAGGAGGAAACAAACTAGGGGGACTTAAACGTCCTCGACATGACGACAAAAACCTTCCTTGACCGAAACGGATATCCTTAGCTCTAAGCTGGACCCTGTTCGTTTCCCGTTGATGGCTTAGCAGGCGAGTTATGCGCAGTTGAAAATGAGGGAGCTTGTGTTTTTTCTCCCTCGTCGTCCAGCGAGAGGACAAGATGGCAGCGCGAGCGCGTCGAGCATGTAGTGGGTGCGAATTAAACCCGAACATGTTCACAAAAGACCCGCGGTCTGACCACAGCTGCTGTCTGTGAAGGTAAGGAAGATTTAAACGAGTTGTAAATGCATAAATACGTGTCTAATAGTCAGTAGTGAAGATATCAAATCAGGCTCGACTTCGGAGTTGTGATCTCGAGCGCGTAGTTGTTGCGAAAAAAGTTGCCAACAACTTGAAAGCAATGTTTCGCAGGGGTTGGTAATGTGTTTTGGTAGCTGTTTAGGTTCTGGTTTTAATAATAAAAAAATTCATAAAATAAAACAAACTTTTTTTTTTTTTGTCCCTCAACTTTTAATCTTTAAATGTTCGCGAAGACTTGCTGGTAACCAGCCAAACCCATAATGTTTGCCTAAATCCTGTTGCTTAAAAGCATGACATAAAGAAGTTCAGTTGATGTATTTAAGCGTTAATCACTTAAGTTGTTCGTATTCGTGCATGTGATTTGTAGGTTGAGCGAGTTTTCTCGAATGAACTCGCCAGTTGTTGATTTTGTACTAACGTTATAATCAAGCGACATGTTGATCAATCCTCCTAAAATGCACAGGCCTGGTTATCTGTTAGCAGCTGACTTCTTCTTTCTTCTGTGACTTGACAGTGTGCTGGTAAGAATCAGCAAAAGTGTTACCTAAAAATATCTTATGTAAAACGCAAGTTGCATTTCCTGTCTACACATTGAAATATAATCCCTCATACATTACCTGTAGAAAAGATTTTTAAACAGTTCTTTAATATTATAACAGTGATTATTTCATGTATGTTTTTGGCAGGGAAAGTTTTGTTCATTCCGGAACATCATTTAGCTTCTTACTCTTATGAAAAACCTGGAAATATTATGGAATTTCCAGACCTGAAGTAAATATAGATTTTTTTTCCCCCTAGTTATGGTCCGCTGTAAAATTTCTTTGATTATTTTTATGTATTTTTTTCATTTTGTAATATGCCAAAGAGCAAAGTGTTGAAATTTTATAATACATGTATTACATCATAATGAAACATAGAGGAACGTAAGTTCATCATATTGTTATTATTGCATTATATTATGTTTTAGCAAATTATTTAATTACTCTATTGAAATGCCAGTTATTTTTATAATGTATTAAATATAGTTTTATCTACTTGTTCTGTTTATGTTAAACTTATTTAGTACATTGATATTATTTTGTGAAATATTATTTTATGAATTCATATTATAATGATTTCATTTAGTTTGAAATCAAATTCAATTGAATTACTAGTTACAAGTTACATTACGTTTAGAAATATGAACCTATTTTATAATAATATATATAAATATCGAAAATATATTTAATGTATTTGATTATAGTATATTTTATAGTGAAATGGTTTATTCAAATAATTAGGTTATTTTTACTAAGTGTGTTAATATATATATGTGTGTGTGCGCGTGTACATTTTTGTGCATTTTATATGTTACGTGTGTGTGACTTGAAAAAGAATCTTGGAAGAATTATGGAATTTCATTTCAGCCCTATTTCAATATGAAAAAGAATACTCCAAAGAAATGTTGTTGTAGTTTTATAAAACATGTATTACAACATAATGAAACCGGAGTATTATAAGTTCCTCGTTGATATTGCTATCACTTTTCATCACTGGGAAATAGGGCTGCAACAAGCGATTATTTTGGTAATCGATTAATCTAACGATTATTAGATTGATTAATCGACTAATCGTCGATTATTTTGCTGATTAATCGGTAGACATTTATTTATTATTCAGCTTTTGCAATTAGTTAAAATACTGAGTTATACATATTCTAACAAATAAATTAAGGTAATCACTTCAGCTTTTGAAAGTCATATTATGTAATTACAGTTATACAATTCATTTATACAAATAAATATATTTGGCACACAAAATGAGATGGCAGATAAACTCTTATTCACCATTTAATTAGCTATATGAAAAGGTAACTGAATGACACATCATTCTGCCTAACATCTCTTTTTGTAAGTCATATGGATAAGAAACAAAACAAAGATTAAGTGATAAGACGTTTTATTTTTGGATAAATTAATATTCACAACATAATCGCTCTTAAAATACCTTATAGGGTTATGATAATCAAAACAGTCCTGAGCTAGATCAAGCTTTGTTCTCTGCAAACCAAACTATAACTTTAATGAAATGTTTTTTTCCCCCACTAATAAAACGATTTTATCATTTGCTAGCTCCACACTGGAGAGCTGCTTTATAACAGAAAATCAAGTTGTAATTCTAACGGAAAGCAACACTGACTCTGGTTTTTCATGTTTAATAATGCTGTAAAGCTGCTTGATTTAAGGCTGTCTATTGCTTGAAGTGCTATATAAATAAACGTAACGTGACTGGACTTTACTGGAGTACTGAACTGCAGAGCTCGTGCAAACATCCACATCGCTGTGATCCGATGCGTTTTAAACTGCTGCTTTCTCACCGCTGTCAGTTTTTGATGTGTTTATTTTGTTATTGAGAGGAAAGCGCGCAGTATATATTTACATATTCATCCAAACGCCACTCAGCAGCCTCAGGTTTGGCTGCGTTTGCTCTGTCTTCTCTTGAATTGCATCACATTAGGTCATATGAGATCAAACAACTAACAAAAATATTTGTCTACAATTTTTTATTGTCGATAATGTCGACTAATCGTTTCAGTCCTACTGGGAAAATATATGCCTGTCAATTCAGTAAAGTTTACTTCCCAATCAGTTCCTGCCGTTAAACTTTTATAGCCCCAGCAGTTGCAGTATCAACAGGTGTTTTTCCTGTGCCATCTCTTGCCTAACCCAATTAGGTCTTGACATGGAAAAAGGTCAGTTGCCACCTGCTTATAGCAGAAGGCAGTGGCGTTTGAAAACAGTAGAGAGACCTGTAACCCTAAACCTTTGCTGGTGCCTCCTTGCTACTGGGGGATTACGCTTCTATAGGACAGGCCTTGTAAAAACACTCCTCCAGATGGGACTGTCCTTTTAAAGCTGTTGAGTCAGTCTCTGGTTGCAAACCTAGATGTTGTTTACACATTCAGGAATATAGACCTAATTGAAACAGAAATGCATGATTTAAACCTGGAGTTTGGTGTGGTAGTGTGAATGAATTAGGCCTTATATAACGGCCCTGGAAGTGAATCCATTAGATGTGCATTCTCCATTAAACAACGTGGTATGTTTGCACCCCCTTTGTTTTATAACCTCTAAGTGTTAGCTGGCTTATAAGTGTATGAGAGAGTTAGTATGTGGGTGTGTCAGAGCCACACCTGTCCTCGTGTCTGAACTTGTGCCATATGTTGTGCCAGCATAAGTAGTCTGTCTCCCACGAAACTAAGACAGCTAATCCCCATTGGTCACTTGTCTGTCTGAATCTGCTAATATGATATCACTGGTTTTATTGTACACGAGGGCTGAACGATTAATCAAAACAAAAATCAAAATCGCTATTTGGCTTATTAATCAAATTGCAAAGGCTGAAATTTATTTAAATAAATATATGTGCGTGTTTTAGAGTGAAGTGTTCAATTATACACATGCAGATCATAACAGTGTTTTTAGTGTCTCGGTTCAGAATTACTACTTTACACAATCTCCATTTCTGAAATTGCTGCAATTGCTTTGATTATAACGTGCATTTGAAATGCAACACTCGCCAAACATTTCAACTTTTTTTTTTTTTATGAGAAGTTTAGAAACCTATTGCCAAAAGGCAAGAACCTTTTTTCTAAAGCAAAACCTCAGTTGTTCAGGGTTTAAAAATGAAGAAATTAAGGCATAAGTATTAGTGTTGCAATTTGACAGTTTTGCAGTAAAATAAATTGTAATTCGAACTAAATGTTTTATTTTGCAGTAAAATAGTAATATATCATATTTTTGCCAATTTTAATAATTTAATGTTTATATTATTTAATAATAATTATTATTTTATTTAATAATTATAATAATAATTATTATTATCATATTATTTATTTATATTGTGTTGACACATAATCATACAACTTTTGGCCAAATTATGAAGCCCTACAAACAAGCACAGTAATTATGGAGCTCTTTAAAAAAATATATCACATTTTATAAATCACAGTTGTATTTGCAGTTTCTTTTTTTCTTTCTTTTTTTATGTGTAGCCCCATGGTACACTTAAAATGCTTTTTAAGCTTTATAAACTTTCCCTTCAGGAGTTAGTGAGATCTTCTTTGTTATTTGCCCTGTATTTAACATGTAATTAATTCAACAAGCCATCTTGCTTGTTTTGAATCTTTTATAATAGGAGGTTTTGTTTCGATGATTATGACTGTATAAAAATATAAACAGCATCACGGAAATGACTAACACAGACTAACACTTTTCTTCCCCTCTCTCCTTTTATAGGTATGGCCTCACAGGTTACGGTCTGCCCACCACATGTTTATCAACCCCAGACAAGTGCCTTTTGCAGAGCGAAGAAAATCGATCCCAGCAGCTGTGTTTACCATGAGAAGATCCCTCGCACTTATGTGGTCGGTGTGAATCTAGGCATTGCGCACCCTACGGATATTATACCTTTATCGAGAATCGAAGCTTTAACCAGCGAGAAACCCTGCGCCGCATGGGACATCTCGAAACAGACTGAAACAGCTCCACAGGAGCTCCTCGGAAGGGCTTCCTCGCCATACAAACGTGTGGTATCGGGGGGCGACCTTCAGTATTTCTCCAGAGCGGCCGCGGCAGTTGAAGAAGAAAGTGGAGACAGTGGCCAAAACAGCCAAAGTAGTAGTAGTAGTAGAAACAGTGGCGGTGCTCCGGAAGGGGTGGAGAGAATCGAGAGGAACGGTGGTTTGAATTCGTTTGCCAGAACCCAAAGATGTGGGTTTAAATGCAAAGGGGCTGAGCTTGAGAACGGCAAGAGCATCATGCAGATAGTAGAGGAGCATTCGACTCTACCTGCCATGTTGCAAACAAACGTTGGGAGCACCACCGTGGTAGGCGTGGCCCCGCCTGAGCAGAACGGAACCGGTACGAGAGCCGTGAATGGGACAGTCGATGGCGACTATCAGTTAGTCCAACATGAAGTGCTGTGCTCCATGAAGCACACCTACGAAGTGTTGGAGTTCTTGGGACGTGGTACGTTCGGTCAGGTGGTCAAATGTTGGAAGCGAGGCACCAATGAGATCATGGCAGTGAAGATACTGAAGAACCACCCATCGTATGCCCGCCAGGGCCAGATCGAGGTGAGCATCCTGGCCCGACTGAGCGGGGAGAATGCCGAGGATCACAACCTGGTGAGGGCTTTCGAATGTTTCCAGCACAGACACCACACATGTCTGGTGTTTGAGATGTTGGAGCAGAACTTGTACGACTTCCTCAAGCAGAACAAGTTCAGTCCGTTGCCGCTGAAGGTGATTAGGCCCGTTCTGCAACAGGTGACCATGGCGCTGAAGAAGCTCAAGAGCTTGGGCCTGATCCATGCCGATCTTAAACCGGAGAACATTATGCTGGTAGATCCTGTGAGGCAGCCCTTCCGTGTGAAAGTGATTGACTTTGGCTCTGCCAGCCACGTCTCCAAAGCTGTGTGTTCGACGTACCTGCAGTCTCGCTACTAAGAGCGGCCGCGGCAGTTGAAGAAGAAAGTGGAGACAGTGGCCAAAACAGCCAAAGTAGTAGTAGTAGTAGAAACAGTGGCGGTGCTCCGGAAGGGGTGGAGAGAATCGAGAGGAACGGTGGTTTGAATTCGTTTGCCAGAACCCAAAGATGTGGGTTTAAATGCAAAGGGGCTGAGCTTGAGAACGGCAAGAGCATCATGCAGATAGTAGAGGAGCATTCGACTCTACCTGCCATGTTGCAAACAAACGTTGGGAGCACCACCGTGGTAGGCGTGGCCCCGCCTGAGCAGAACGGAACCGGTACGAGAGCCGTGAATGGGACAGTCGATGGCGACTATCAGTTAGTCCAACATGAAGTGCTGTGCTCCATGAAGCACACCTACGAAGTGTTGGAGTTCTTGGGACGTGGTACGTTCGGTCAGGTGGTCAAATGTTGGAAGCGAGGCACCAATGAGATCATGGCAGTGAAGATACTGAAGAACCACCCATCGTATGCCCGCCAGGGCCAGATCGAGGTGAGCATCCTGGCCCGACTTAGCGGGGAAAACGCAGAGGAGCATAACCTGGTGAGGGCTTTCGAGTGCTTCCAGCACAGAAACCACACCTGTCTGGTGTTCGAAATGCTGGAGCAGAACCTGTACGACTTCCTCAAGCAGAACAAATTCAGTCCGTTGCCACTGAAGGTGATTAGGCCCGTTCTGCAACAGGTGGCCACGGCGCTTAGGAAGCTCAAAAGCTTGGGCCTGATCCATGCCGATCTTAAACCAGAGAACATTATGCTGGTAGATCCTGTGAGGCAACCCTTCCGTGTGAAAGTGATTGACTTTGGCTCTGCCAGCCACGTCTCCAAAGCTGTGTGTTCGACGTACCTGCAGTCTCGCTACTATAGGTAAGCTGTGTTTTTTTGTTTCCTTTTATTAGGCTGACTACTTGTCATTAGGGATGCACCGAATGTTCGGCAACCGAAATTATTCGGCCAAAAATAGCAAAAAAATCTCTTTCGGTGTTTGGCCGAATAAGCAAAAAGGCTGAATAATATGTACCGAACAATGACGTGATCAAATAGAGGCACGCACTAATGCAGCAAACATGTCGGCAGCGTGAAAGTATTTAAATCTATCAGAGAAAGACACAGAAATCATTACAAGCACGAAGCACCAACAGCAAGAGACTGTTTAGTGCTGCATCACATGTCTCCGATGAGAAGAAGAGGTGGCTGATGCTGGTGGTTAGGCTACTGAATGATGATTGAAATCGCGAAATGGCCTCAAGCGATTAGTAAATAAACTGCAGAATGTTATATTTTCTAATGCACGCACGAATTGCATGTATTCTGACAGCGCTGCACGAGCTCGCGGCGCCAAGGTTCAAAGTCAAAGCACGAGGAAAATCTGCGCTAAAACTGTCACTCGTCAGTTGCTCAGTAACGTTTTTTTTTTATTTTTATTAATTTTTTTTAAAGGCATGTGACAATGTGATACGTGCGATAGGGTTGGGCCGATAGACGATGCCATAGTCCATCGCTGATGGCTGATAGACATCACGATGTGGAGCCTTGCCGCTCGCATCCGGTGTAGTCATGGTTTTAGGAATCATTTGCTTTCCCTTATAAGGATTCATGCTTCAGGCACCCCTCCTCTGCACCTGCCCACGCCGATGTCATCGTAGACATCGATCACTGTAGACATCGTCCGATGCCAAATTTGTAGACATCGCCCAACCCTAACGTGCGACAAACATCTTCCCAAATTCATAATGAGAATCATTTATAAATCTGCATGCTAAAAAGAAGCACTGAGATCTTCCTGTGGGTTTCTGCCAAAATAAAAAAGCAACAACTCCATCAACATTCATAAATGTTAGTATTGTAATTTTACTGTTGTTCTGTAAAATAAAATAATTTCTGCTCAGCAAGGCTGCCTTTATTTGTACAGTAAAAAATACATGCCTGATTCAAGTCTCAAAAATGGCCAAAAAATTTATTTTACTAACTTATTAATTTTAAGTTAAATTGTGCTTTGTTGGTATAATGTCTGCTAGAATGTAAAACAAATTTTTAGTGTTAAGTAAATACTAATATTTATATATAATATAATACTAAAATATATTTTTAAATTGTTGTTTTGTCATTTATTTTTTATTTGAAAATCAGGACAAAACAGTAAAAAGCATATTTTGGCTATTTAATTTATGCAATGGTGAAAAAAAAGGGCAAAATAGGCCTACATGGGGAAAAATGTGAAAAACTGTGTTCGGTATTCGGCCTTCGGCCCAGTGTTTAATTTTGTGCAGCTTCGGCCAAGAATTTTCATTTCGGTGCATCCCTACTTGTCATGTCTCTGTTTAATCATAAATAGTCTTTTGGAATTTGTAGCAAGTATAAAGATATAATTTGTGGTGTTCGTTTTGAGGAAGTCAAACTGAGGAAGGTTTACTTAAGCTGCACTTCCTGTCAGAACAATTATGTAATTCTGTCTATAGCTTTTGTCTAAAGTTTGATGGTAAGCTCTCTTTGTATCCACCATGGAGTAACACCCGTAATAAATTTATGTAACGACGAAAAAACGACGCATAAAGTTTTCGACTAGTTTGGTTCCCTCTTGTCTGCTTTTTTCCTAATGGGGTCAGTTCAGTCCGCGATGGCTGTACTTTGTGTCTCTGTGGTTGGCAGTTCTTTAGGAAGAATGTGGTTTGCTGAAGTGATTCATGGGACATGGAAGAACATTGAATCTTACGTCTTAAATTAGAACATGCCTGATGTTTGTGTTTTCAAAAGTTCTCAAACTAAGTCAAACTTAGTTAGTATTTTTTAACCCCAAAATTTCCTATCATGCTTTCAGTCTATAGCAGGGATCCTCAAATCTGGCCCACGAGATCCACTTTCCTGCAGAGTTTAGCTCTAACCCTAATCAAACATACCTGAGCATACTAATTAGTGTCTTCAAGATCATTAGAAAATCACAGGTAGCTGAGTTTGATCAGGGTTGGAGCTAAACTCTGCAGCGCATTGGCCCTCCAGGGCAAGATTTGAGGAACCCTGGTCTATAGTATTTTGTAATAAATGGATGATTCAGGCAAAAATTTAATCTCAACCTCATGTTGTTCCTAAGATGTATGACTTTCTTGCTTTTTAGAACATCGTCCGATGCCAAATTTGTAGACATCGCCCAACCCTAACGTGCGACAAACATCTTCCCAAATTCATAATGAGAATCATTTATAAATCTGCATGCTAAAAAGAAGCACTGAGATCTTCCTGTGGGTTTCTGCCAAACTAAAAAGCCACAAACCCAACAACATTATTGTAATTTTACTGTTGTTCTGTAAAATAAAATAATTTCTGCTCAGCAAGGCTGCCTTTATTTGTACAGTAAAAAATACATGCCTGATTCAAGTCTCAAAAATGGCCAAAAAATTTATTTTACTAACTTATTAATTTTAAGTTAAATTGTGCTTTGTTGGTATAATGTCTGCTAGAATGTAAAACAAATTTTTAGTGTTAAGTAAATACTAATATTTATATATAATATAATACTAAAATATATTTTTAAATTGTTGTTTTGTCATTTATTTTTTATTTGAAAATCAGGACAAAACAGTAAAAAGCATATTTTGGCTATTTAATTTATGCAATGGTGAAAAAAAAGGGCAAAATAGGCCTACATGGGGAAAAATGTGAAAAACTGTGTTCGGTATTCGGCCTTCGGCCCAGTGTTTAATTTTGTGCAGCTTCGGCCAAGAATTTTCATTTCGGTGCATCCCTACTTGTCATGTCTCTGTTTAATCATAAATAGTCTTTTGGAATTTGTAGCAAGTATAAAGATATAATTTGTGGTGTTCGTTTTGAGGAAGTCAAACTGAGGAAGGTTTACTTAAGCTGCACTTCCTGTCAGAACAATTATGTAATTCTGTCTATAGCTTTTGTCTAAAGTTTGATGGTAAGCTCTCTTTGTATCCACCATGGAGTAACACCCGTAATAAATTTATGTAACGACGAAAAAACGACGCATAAAGTTTTCGACTAGTTTGGTTCCCTCTTGTCTGCTTTTTTCCTAATGGGGTCAGTTCAGTCCGCGATGGCTGTACTTTGTGTCTCTGTGGTTGGCAGTTCTTTAGGAAGAATGTGGTTTGCTGAAGTGATTCATGGGACATGGAAGAACATTGAATCTTACGTCTTAAATTAGAACATGCCTGATGTTTGTGTTTTCAAAAGTTCTCAAACTAAGTCAAACTTAGTTAGTATTTTTTAACCCCAAAATTTCCTATCATGCTTTCAGTCTATAGCAGGGATCCTCAAATCTGGCCCACGAGATCCACTTTCCTGCAGAGTTTAGCTCTAACCCTAATCAAACATACCTGAGCATACTAATTAGTGTCTTCAAGATCATTAGAAAATCACAGGTAGCTGAGTTTGATCAGGGTTGGAGCTAAACTCTGCAGCGCATTGGCCCTCCAGGGCAAGATTTGAGGAACCCTGGTCTATAGTATTTTGTAATAAATGGATGATTCAGGCAAAAATTTAATCTCAACCTCATGTTGTTCCTAAGATGTATGACTTTCTTGCTTTTTAGAACACAAAGTACACAATACATTATTATAATTTCAAAAAGTTCAAAAGTCTGGAGTCAGTAAGAGATATATATATATAGATAGATAGATATAGATAGATAGATAGATATAGATATAATTTTTTTTTTTTTTTTGAAAATGTATATTTTTAATCAGCAAAGATGCATTAAAAGATCAAAAGTGTCAGTAAAGACATTTATAATGTTCCAAAGTATTTCTATTTCAAATTAAAGTCTTTCTTTTTAACTTTTTTTCATCAAAGAATAAGAAGAAATCATATCACGGTTTTTTCAACATTAGAAAAATAAAACGTTTCTTCAGCAGCAAATCAACATATTCAGCATAAATCATCATAAATGATTTCTGAAGGATCATGTGACACTGACGGCTGGAGTAATGACTGCTGAAAATTCAGCTTTGCCATCACTGGAATAAATTATGGTTTACATTATACTTGGATAGAAAATGGTTATTTTAAATGGTAATACTTATGACATTAAATGATTGTTTTTACTGTATTTTTCCATTAAATAAACTTTTTTTTAAATTATTAAATAGAATAAATCTTACAGACCACAAACTCTTGAATGGTAGAATATGTATTTTGAAGATTTTTTCAGATTTTTTTTGTCTGTTAGTGGGGTCCAAAACAACATTAAACTCAATAACTTTCACTGTGAGGACAAAAACACTTTTCAAAACATGTAAAATAAGAAAATAGTTCAGGTTTGGAGCATAACGGTGAACAAAAGGTGAACTGTCCCTTTAAGACGTTTGTGCCACTGAAAGGCATACAAAATAGGTTTTGAACGTAATGTGACATTGCGGTGCAGAGTACAGGCTGTCTCTGTAAACGGTTTGTGGGGAAGCTAAAGAACAAGATAAAGAGGAGCTAGGCGCTAGTTTAAATAGGGCATTTGAACTCTTTGTACTTTGGCACTGCCACAGTTTGATGCCTGCAACTGCATGAACTCGCAGCCCATGCAGGTGGCACATGTGAATGTGTTGCTTTGCATGGGAATGAGATGAACTGAGGAACGTGTCTGTTGGTAATGCTGTCTTTGCACTCAAAAGAAGTGATAACAGATGTTTTTATAGAAGGTTATGAATCATCATTCACTCTCGCTTGTTCTTTTTTTCTGGGATTTTGTTCATGACTCTTTACATTACATAAGTACTGAGTAATTTTAACAAACAACATGTACAATTATTTTGAGTGGTTTGTAATTGTGCTTTGTTTGCTATTGTAATTAATTAGTCACAAGTAATGTTTTTTTTTTAACATTATCATTGTAATATAAAGTGTTAATTTAACATCTT